GGGGGCATGAAGTTTTTTTTTTTTTTTTGGAAAATTTGAAACTGACAGTATGGGAAGTATATGGAGATGTGCTGATGACTTAATACTCTATGAATAGTATAATTATAGTATAATTATATACATATATATGGAGTGATTATATATATATATATATATAGTTTTGAATTGCTATACAGCGCAATTTTTATTCAGATTTAATACAAAGTTTTAAAGTTAATGCGAATTCATTTCTCCATACTGCTGTTATAAATATGCAGTCGTTGGTCAAAAGTTCAGTCTAAAGGTTCTGAAGGTAATTTCATGATTTACACCCCTCAACCTTTCGTTCTCATTCATAACGTTATCTATTATAGACTGATGTAGTCAGCTTTGTACAGTATTACCTAAAGACAAACTTTCTAATGTTTAAGTCTTTGAGCCGTGTGTTACAGAATGTACTGTCTTCCATAAGTGGTGAACTAACAGCCACACAGTGGGTAGATTGTCTGCATCCTGTTCATCTTTGAAATATCTTCCTTTTATTTTCTCTCTCTGGAAAACAGTTGTATTGCAGCAGGCGTGCTATGTTCCATACAACACTGCATTTATCTTCCTCTGTTTTGATCTTTGGCATATAACTACATGTTAAAATGCATGCAAATTAGGTTTGTTTACCAATTTAAAAATCCTATTACTTTAATTTTATTTAATGAATGCTCTTTCGTGAAATTAGCATTTAATTAGAAATGTATTTAATCATAAAATATTTTATTTTTATTAATATACATTAGTATTTATTATATAGTACATTCATAAACCAAGTGCTTGAATAATTGAATCAATCTCATAACCCTTAACAGGGGAGGTAATGGTGGAATGTCATTTCACATCTCGATGTTAAGTTAACAAATTCACAAACATCGTCTCTTTCCCAGAAGGACGATTCAGCATTCCAGTATTGATTTGTAAGATGGGTGACTAATTACTGGAACCTTTTTAAATGGGACTGGACAAGGTTCAGTTGTAAGCAGCATAAAGAGGGATATTTGTTGTAACGATGTAAGGGCTAAAGAGGCTTTGAGTATCTTAGTAATTCCAGTGGGACAAAAGAGAGAGATGCAGGTTTATAGTGTTAGTATCTATTAGTAGGTTTGCCAGATATACCCCATATTTGTGTTTTTTTTTAAACAAAGAAAGAAAGAAAACAATTATTTCATTCAGCAAGGATGCACTAAATTAATAAGTATGCATTAAATAAAGATTTGTATTTCAAATAAATGCTGTTCTTTTGACATTCCTGTTCATTAAATGATCCTAAAAAATGTATTACAGTTTCCACAAAAATCATTAAGCAGCTGTTTTCAAACATTGATAATAATAACTGTTTTCAACATTGATAATAATAACAACAATAATAATAATAATAATAATAATTATTATTATTATTATTATTATAAGTTTTTAAACGGCAAATATTATAATTATGTCTGAAGGATCATGTGGCATTAAAGATTATTATTATTATTATTATTTGAATTGCAATAATGTTTCACAATATTATTGTTTTACTGTATTTTTTTTTATCAAATAAATGCAGCCTCAATAAGCATAAGATACTACTTTTAACAACACTAAAAAATCTTCCAACCCCAAACTTTTGAGCAGTAGTGTCTTTACAGACAAAGAGGAAAAGCAGGATATGTTGCCAATAAACAGCCAATTGTAGGCTTTTCAGCAAACAGTAAAAACTAAAGTATTAAAGCATTGTTTGGAAAATATTGGAATTTGACCTATTTAACCACATTTGACTCTTTTCTCTATGTGCATATTTATTCAGATTTTTCTATGGTTTACACTTCATGTTTTTATTTATTTATTTATTTCCCCCCTCCCCCAAGGAAATCTAGGTGGAACCTAGTTGTTGACCCACTTAAATTTTAGCATGTGTGCACATTTTATCTCTGACGATTAGACATTTAAATATTTTTTTCACAGTGAAATTGAAGTGACGTGTGGCCAAGTATGGTGACCCATACTCGGAATTTGTGCTCTGCATTTAACCCATCCAAGTGCACACACACAGCAGTGAACACACACACACACACACACACACACACACCGTGGACACACACCCGGAGCAGTGGGCAGCCATGTGGTGCCCGGAGGAGCAGTTGGGGGTTTGGTGCCGTGCTCAAGGTCCTTACCTCAGTCGTGGTATTGAGGGTGGAAGAGAGTGCTGGTTATTCACTCCCCCACCAACAATTCCTGCCGGACCAGAGACTCGAACCCGCAACCTTCAAGGTTACAAGTCCGACTCTCTAACCATTAGGCCACGACCACCCCCACAACAGAGAGTGAAAGTGACAGATGAGAAAGAGAGGATGCCTTTGAGGCAAGATGCCAAAATAAAAACTGTTTCTGAGTCTTTCTGACACTTGTAGAATATCTAATTGCATTACATTTCCATGGAAGTCATGCTTCTCCAATGAAATGTTCACACAGCTAGGTATTTAAGCACATGTAGGTGTGCAGCCTGTGAAAACACCATGCTGACTTGTCCCTGAAACTCTCTTTTTGGAAGAGAGCCTTGAGAAGAAAAATCAAACCTTTCAAGGATGAAGATTATAAGTTCATGGAAACATGTTCACTTACAGTGCGGCTTGTTGTGAGCTTCAGTATTTTGAAAAAAAAAAGAGCACCAAGGCCAGTATTGCCCTTAATGAAAACAACATGCAAAAGATTCCTGCAGGTGGAATCATGTCCCCCAGGTGGGACGTTGGAAATCAGCTCAGATGCTGAATGAAAGGAAATATATATTTTTTTAAAGGAAGATGAAGAAGACAGTGTGTCTACTGGAGATATCTTGGAGGAACATAGAAGCAGGGATAGTGGTTCCCAGAGTGATGCTAACAAGGACACAGACTCTGGAATGGGCCAAGGAAGCTTCACAGACAGCATGGAGGCAGTGGAAGAGTGTGCTTGATGTGTAAATGGTCATGTCCTTTTGGTGTCTTAGACATGTGTTCGTACATAAAGTGAACATATTAATTGTACCTTTATGGATTATAGATTCCATACAAATATACCTAACATTTTGAGTCAATAAAGTCTAAATATACTCATTTTGTACGTGTCTTTGTCAGCATATACACTGGTCAAAAGTTGGAATAATTACAATTTATTATTATTATTATTATTATTATTATTATTTATTTATTTTTAATATATATATTTTTTTTATATATATGTTTTAAAATGTAATTTATTCCTGTGATGGCAAAGCTGAATTTTCAGCAGCCATTAATCCAGTCTTCAGTGTCACATGATCCTTCAGAAAGCATTCTAATTTGCTGATTTGCTGCTCAGTGATCTTTTGAAACGCTACAGACCCCATGAAATAAGCGATAACTGTTTGGTCTACTTAGCTCATATGAGACCAATCATCAGAGGATGTTCATTCTGTTGCAATTCAAAACTTACTATCATAGCCATAGCCAGGGTTTGAAAATTAGTGAGGTGAGACAGAGATGAAGATGCTTGTGAAAGATGTTTTCTGTTTTGAAAGGATGAACACTGTGAATTTATACCATAGTCTATTTATTGCATTGTTTACTATAGATTAGGCGTGGATACTTTTATCAGTTGTTTATTATTCATGCAACAATCCATATTACTGTTATAGATTTCATTAATAATCATTGCGCTATGATAAATTTGTCTAGTGCTATTATGGACTTTTTAGCATGACTTTGTGAAAATGTAAAGACTACTGAATAAAATAACATAGACTTTTTCATGGCGTTTGCGTATTTCATTTCATTCTGTAAACTACTTGTTCTACAGATCTGTGTACTAGTGTTAAATGCTACTGTTTTTGATAATGTTGATAACGTTTCTAACAGATAATATCATGATATTTTTTTTTTTGCGTTTCCCTTACAGAATGTGCTATCCTGTAAGCAATAACATGTCCATGGGCTCTTTTGATAACTGTCAGTTTAAGTGCCAGCGATGCAGTGTTGCCAGATATTGCTATTAAAACAAATAAATCAAAAAACAAAATTATTTCAAATATTTTGCAAATAAGATAAGATAAGGATATCGCTGACCCTAAATTGCAACTTCCCACTCTATTAACGCTCTAAAGTGTCAAATTAAGTGGAAAAGTCAAGTCCAAAAACGCCTATAATCGCTGGATCTGGCAACACGGAAGCTGCGCCCTCAAGATTCGTTCACTGCACCAGCGTCTCGCAGCGTTCGTTTTCATACCATGGACGCTAAACATTCTTGCAAACTGTCTAAACTGAATTATACATGCAGATAGTCATATGGTGATCTCATAGCTGGCTACGGTTATGATTATATATCACTACATGATGTGTCTCTCTCTCGCTTAAGTGGAGCTCTTTCCTCTTGCTCGTTCTCTCCCTTGCCTCCATGATTTCCAGGATATTGTATCTAATTTGCGGGCGTCAGGGAGCCACTATTAATATGCGGGAGACTCCCGGAGCTTCCGGGAGAGGTGGGATGTCTGACATTATAAATGTCTTCATTGTCACTTTCAATTGAACTCTATTTGTTTCTGCTATAGTGGAGTAATAGCTGCTGAAAATTCAGCTTTGCCATCACAAGAATAAAATACATTTTAAAATATGTTAAAATAGAAAACAGTATATTTGATCAAATAAATGCAGACTCAGTGGATTGCAGGACAATTCAGCTTTGCCATCACAAGAATAAAATACATTTTAAAATATGTTAAAATAGAAAACAGTATATTTGATCAAATAAATGCAGACTTAGTGGGGGGGGGGGGGATATTACCTTCACATAACATATAAAAATAATGTGCAAATAACACGTTTGTACTGAGAGCTGTTGTTACTTGTCAAAACCTTGTGATCTGTAAAGTTGAGCCATGATTGCATTTGTCTGTACTCTGTAAATCTAACCTCTCCATTCGTGTGTCATTTTTGTGTATTGAGCAGAATGTTCCGGTCCGCTGGGCATGGAGGGTGGAATCATCTCCAACCAGCAGATAACGGCCTCCTCCACTCACCGAGCGCTCTTCGGCCTCCAGAAATGGTACCCTTACTTTGCCCGGCTGAATAAGAAGGGTCTTGTGAACGCCTGGACCGCAGCCGAGAATGACAGATGGCCCTGGATTCAGGTAACAGATTGACACGGGCAGATTAAGTCTGGATGAAGATCCATCAACATTGAATGAACCTGTAACTGGCAGAAATATTTTCTTCCTGTCAGCCTGAGTGTTTTTTGTTGTTTGTTTACATATTGCCAAAGCATTGCAGAAATACTTATAGAAAACTTTAAGATAAGAAATAAGTAAATTAATAATAATACTACTACTAATAATAATAATAATTGAACACCAATAATATGTGATAATAATTGAACACCAAATCACTAAATTATTTCTGAATGATCATGTGAAACTGAAAACTGGTAATGATTTCAGTTTTGCCATCACAGGAATAAATGTCATTTTAAAATATGCTGGTTAGAGCTGGTCGAGCAGCATCGCTGTGTTGTTTACTAAGAAACATTTAGCTGGTATGGCTGGTTGACTGCAAGGTTTTTTTCTCTCTCTCTCTCTATCTCTCTCTTTTTATGGTGGTGCTGGCTGCTAAAAGAAGTGATTAATCCAGTCAAGAAGCCTTGTTGAAATACCAACACACCAGCAACTAAAACATAACATATGCTCTTGACAATTTATGCTGTTTTGGTTGCTGTTGCTGTTGTTGTTTTTGTTTTCTTTAGCAGGGAAGCTCTGAATTTAGTAGGATCTCTCCGTTATCCGCTCTAGAAATCAAAACAGTTGTCTTTCTAACAAATTCCCTCCTTGGCTGCAACTCTGTCAGTATTCAGAAATGTTTCAAAGCGTTGTCCATTCACAGAACCATTTCATGTCAGCCCATTACCATTGATTGATGGCAATGGCAGGCTTACATCTTTGTGTATCAATCCATTTCTTTGGTTTCTTTGGTGGATGGTTTAGTATTCATATGAAGTTTCTTCAGCAGAGTACATTTGATTGATAATGCAGACAATCACAGTGGATGGAAGTTTCAGTCCATTTACCTCTAGTTTTACGATGAGTAGCCTCATGTCAACCTCAGATTTATTCTTTAAATGCCTGCTTGTAAAAGAAAGAGAGACTGAATTGGATCCTTCATTGAATTGATATTCAGTGGGTAGTCCGTGCAGCAGCGTAGTGAAAAAACTCTGACCTCTGTGAGGAGCTGAGATGAAATTCAGCTGAAAAAAATAAATGATAGGAGGAGTCTGACTGCAGATTTGTGAGTGTAACAAGTTAACCACTGTTTGTGCACCAGTAGCTGCTCGCAGGTAAAGAGTGAAGATTATAGGTGGAGAGAGAGCTAGAAAGGGAGACAGGGAGGGGAAAGTAGTAAAAAGGGAGAAATCTAAAGTATTATGGAGTTTGTTTGACTTTAATGATGCCTCTTGGGATGAAGCTTTTGGTGCTGTGGAGCTGCTGGGTTAGAACACAGAGAGATGTGTTAGAAACATCAGATTGGCTTAAGGCAATATGCTGTGGTAGTTGCCACATGACCTCTCTTCAGCTCTAGTCATTTAAATTAGAGGTGACACACAGTGTGTCTGTCTGTCTCTCGTTAACATCCTTTTTCTTCACTGTCATTCTTTCCAGTCAGTTCTACCTCAGTTTCTTAGTGTCTTCAAGACATCAGGTGCTGTGGTGGTGAATAAAATGCAAAAACTAGTGTCATTTAGGGTGGGGGTGATGGGGACTGGTCACCACCACTTGTTTTATTAATATATAAAATTACGTTAGAGTGGATTAGAACCCAAAGCCCTCATACTCAAAGCAAAATGTTACCTGTGAATCAGTGGTTCATCATTAGGGTTAAGCTGTTGATCCATGCATGTCCACTGAGCTATAAAATCCCAAGACTGACAGCAGCAGATGTAGGGATGAAGTAATGAAATAAGGTTCTTTACTATCACTTTTGATCAATGTAGTGCATCCTTGCTTAATAAAAGTATTAATTTCTTTAAAATAAATTCTTACAGGTGCATTTGTTTATAAATAATATAGAGAAAAAGAGCTAGAGGTAAACATGGATTTCTGTGAGGAGCAGCAGATTTGTCAGTAGCACTTGCATCTTGACTTTCTCAGTTGTGTGAAATTGCTTTGTGACACACTGGGGAAATTTCTTTAAGTCCATAGTGGACAAAAGCGTGAGATTTCATAACTGAAGAAGTGGCACTTTTGGACATGAAGGAAGTGGAATACTCAGCAGCATGCTTTTTTTCTTTTATTTATTTCATTTCTTGAGGGGGATCAGGATTTGGCACGTCTCCTCGATATCCTGAATCTCACCATTCATTTAAGTATTTTACTGTAACTTCCAAGGCTTTCATTAGAAAATATCAGCACTTATCCTTGCCAGGCACGTTTTAGTGTAACCTGTCAGATTCAATTTATGCGGTTTATCCTCAGTTTATCTTTTCAAATATTGCTGCTACACGACTACGTCAAGTATCTCAAGGTAGAAATCTGTAACTGCTGTCATTTTTTTAGTATATTAACCACATTACCAATAACACTTACACTCCTTTGACTCAGTGTCAAGGCCAGAAATCTGCAAGTGGCCACCTTGGTGAAATTGAATAGACCCCTGTGCCTATTCTCAAAATCCATTGAGTATAATGATTTTTTCCCCTCTTTCCTTAGTGTTTATGAGACCGTATTTGACCATTCTACACAACCTAGTTAACTCTACAATAACAACGCAATTGAGTTGTAAATGTACTTTAAAAGGTGATAGTGATATCTGTGGTGCTGGAGACTGTGGGCTAGGGTTCCCAGCAAACTATGCTTTATTGTTCACTGTTTTATTGTTTACTGTATTATTTGCTGTGTTTGCGGCTACTTTAAGTCATGTGGTGTTAACTGCATGAGTGCTTATATGTCAAGTATGTGGTTATTGAGTAATTGTGTGGTTTGTGTGTGGGATGTTAAGTATCTTATACATTGAATTTGTAACTCGGGTTCAGTCTCTGTGTTTATTCTGCAAAGACATCATACTTTCTAGATTATTTTTAACCAAGCACATACTGTATAGCATAATACAATACTGTTTCAGGAGATCTTATGTGGAATAGAAGAGGAAAATTCCAAAGGTGATACACAGCATGGACCAATTATCTGTATGACCCAATGGATGTGTTTAATGAATTAATGAACCTATTTCAAGCTATAGACTACTACTGTTCAAACATTTGGGGTCAGATTTTTTTTTTCTTTTAAGAAGATAATATTTGTAAGCATGCGTTAAAATTATCAACAGTAACAATTACTTTTATAATGTTACAGAATACTTCTGTTTCCAAAAGATTTATATTTCAAATAAATGTTCTTTTGAACATTCTATTTATCATAGACTTTTGAAAAAAAAAAATGCATCATGGTTTCTACAAAAAAAAAAAAAAAAAAAATTTTCAACATTGATCATAATAACATTTGTGAAGGATCATATGACACTGAAGACTGAAGTAATGGCTGAATTTGCTGCTGAAATTTCAGCTTTTCATTTCTGGAGTAAATGACATTTTAATATACATTTAAATAGGAAAAAAAAGTTATTTTAAAGGGGTCATATGATGCGATTTCAAGTTTTCCTTTCTCTTTGGAGTGTTACAAGCTGAAATATTTCACAAAATTACTGTTTTTACTGTATTTATTGTAAGAGATTTCTTTCAAAAACATTTTAAAAAATCTTACCAATCCCTAACTTTTAAACAGTAGTGCACATACACAACTGAAATATGATAATATGCAGTGATGTTAGGATTATGAGTTAGGATTATTTGACAAAATGCACTTTTTTCTCTTTAAACTATTAGTATGTTCTGTAGCTGTCAATCTGGGTGGACCAGAGCTGCTCTGGTCCTTATGTGGCCTCTGTCACACTTTGGTCTATGAGTGTGACTCAAACTCAACCTAGATGAACAGCCCAAAATAAAAATTCTCTAACTCCAGTCAGTTAACCCACTTGCCTGTGGCATATGGCTATCTGTCTCACAGTACAGAAATCTGAATCCTCAACATTTAATTGGCGAGTTCAAATTTGATGCATCTCTCTCAGTTCTTCTTCGTCTCTTGGCATTTCAATCAGACTCGGCATCCTGCAGACTTTTAATTGCACACTAGTCTAAAAACCTTTGTTAGACCAAAGGGGGAAAATTAAAGTGAAAATCATGGTCACATGGCATTATTATTGCCTAAAATCTGTTTTTCATCCAACACTAAAAGGTTTAAATACACAGCAGTAAATGTACCCACATGGCAATTTTTCTCTGGCCCAGCTCCGGCCGACACAACCAGCTTTTGCTTGGCCCACATACAGCAATGTATTACGGTACTAGTGTGGACCAGGTCTGCATTCCAGACAAGGGCCACACAAGTCTCAGTCAAGTTAATTACCCATAACTGGCCCTGAATTGGGCCAGATCAAAATGTAACAATGGAACCAAAACACAACCTTAAGTAAACCATATCAACACCAATCTTTAACCAGAAAGCCCAAAACTGAGCCACACCTGAGCCTGATCCAGGTGAACTAAACCTGGCAGCCAAAATATGGGCCATAAATGGGCCATGACAGATCCATATCTCAGCCACCTGTATGTATGACCATAGCTGGCCGTATTCTGATCCTATACGCTGGACCAGATGGGTTCCACATGTCAGCCTCAACAAAACCATAACCAAGCTACTTGATACACACCCCTCCCAGATGAATAGTCACAACAATACATATTCTGAACAAATATTTAATCATGTTTAATCAGCAAACCAAGTTGAATGAATCTCACACCTAACATGCTTATTTGTTTTGCTTGGGCAGTGTGTTCACCCTGTTGGAGTATGGCAGTGTGAATTGGCTTTTAGGTGCTTTGAAAAACAAAACAAAAAGCAGTAAATATACATACATTTTTTTATATTTACGCAATTAACACAAAATTCTTAAATAAGGTACTTTCTCTATTTTTGCAATATTCGAATGTTCATGTCCCTGAATAATATCTGCATGCACCCAAGTCTGAAGAGTACACATAATATCTAGTAGACAGCAATCCTTGAGAGTGAGAAGTCTGGTGTAGAGGCTGGATCTGG